TATGATAGAGGATTAAGTCCGTTGCTGTCTACAGTCCCAACTCCTGCAACTGATTTCTGGTGCTATTCAAAGGAAAATGGACCAGAACATCACAATATGGAAGGAGCTTGAGGTGATCATAATGCAGTGGATGAAATTTCTGTGTAAGGCAAGTCTCATTCTGAGTAAGAGGCTCGCAACAGGTGCTTCTGCCTTTATTTCCACAGCTAGCTGCATTGCCAGTGCCTTGCTAAGATGCTGTGGGCTTGAACCTCTCATCTTCCAAGAACGTGGGATGTTTCTGTGTTACTGGAAGACCTCTTTCCTCTTTGTTACCAGTCAGGTTGAGGGAGCACCTGCAGACACAAGGACTAGGAGGATGACTCACCCTCTGGAGGTGGCTGTGTTAATCCTGGTGATTGAGGAGTTCTCAGTGGTTGTCTTAGACTTTCTGCTGAACTTCTGAATACCAGAAGTTAGATGATGTGGCTCCTGTATGTTTGAAATCCAGCTCTCTGTTCTCTCAGTTTCTTTCTACACCTTCACTCCTAAGTACTCAAAGCCATCATATAAGTGCATGAAGTGAGATCACAAGCTTAAGGCTCAATCAGTAAGTGGAAGGCTGTTTGCACCCTCTTATCTACAACAGGTGACCTGGTGAAAAGTCTCACTTGCACACATATCCCTGTGATTTACCAGCACATAAATCTCCTCACTGGTCTTTCCTGCATGCGAACTTTTATTTCTCAAAAAAGATGACAGAAAAGGCTTTGTGAACACAATCAACTTGAATAATGATTTGGAATTCATAAGCATCCTTGAGGATATTTATACCCTGATATTTGCCCACTTCTAGATCTCTGCTATCTCTTAGTTGTATGAACAAATACTTAAAATCTATCATATAAAAACTTGTTTGACCTCAGGATGATTTCTGATAAAATGAGATGTGAGATGCTGAGAGTTGTCCAGAGAGAATAAAATCTAGTAAATTATTTGATGTTTTCAGGCTCTGTGTTTATTCTCTGCAGCACTGACAACTGGATTAAACTAAATACTCAACAAGCAATGTAGGTTTTTATTATATGATGGCTATTTAATTATGTTTTTTCTGGCTTCTGCAGTCTTGTGCCACACAAAAGCTCTTCTGATTCTTTTACTGAATTGAGCTGTTATCTTGTGCTCAGCGTTTTAAGTGACCTTAAATAATGTTTGCCTTGACAATCCATTTTCAAACTTATAAAAGAATTCATTTTCAATGCCTCTCAAAAGCCCAGTGCACATGTAGAAAGGTTCCAGGTCTGTGTTCTCCAAAGGACACTAATTCTCAGCCCCCTCAAAGCACAACAAACGTCATCTAACATTTAAATGCTAAAAGTTACAGTAGAGGTTTAGAAAGATCCATGTCTATGTAAAACAGCATTGCAAATCGTTCCAAAAAAGTCAAGATGTCAGATTTTACGCAAAGGCTCTCCCGTAATTTCTGCTGGAGCTGAATGAGTTACTAAAGTTTTGTTTTGGTTTTTGTGGAGTTTTGGAACGTATGAAAAGTAGTTTCACCCTCCCAGAGACTTTCTTGAAAGAAGTCTCTTGGCTGAGGTGGCAGAGTCGGCACACATGCAAACACCTTTTGTTGCACAGGCTCGGGAAGGATGGTGCTGCTTCAGCAGCAGTGCTGCCAAATTGATGTACGCTGTTTTCAAGTGCAAGATCACCGAGCGAGTTCATAGTATGTAGACAGAGCAAGGCAAAGTGCAAACGTACCATTTACCAAAGCCATTCAATTAAAGAAAAGCCCCTACGAAGAAAATGGTTTTATAGCATGTCATGAAAGAATACTTGCCTTTTACTTTAAAAAGAAAAAAGACTGTTTAAGAGGGGTGATTGTAGAGTATGTACCACTTCTAACAGATTTGCTGTGCAGAAGTACATAAGTGTGAGTGATGTAGAGGTACTTGTTTATTATAGAGCACATTTCAATGCAGTAATCATAAATATTGCTAAGGTTGTGCTCTGTTGAAATATGACCTACATACTCTTGATTGTTTGTGTTACGTGATTTGTCTGACACCCATTACATTCTGGGTAATGGCAGCCATTTGTTGCTGTGCACAGCAGGCTCTTTTGACAAAAGAAAATAGGCAGCAATAAAAAAGCTATAGTCTGAATTACATTCTGCACAGCGCTGCACTGCTGAGAGTTTGTGCAAGTGTGTTAACAATGCTCTGAACTGCCTCTTGTCAGCCTTCAGCCCGTAATGGCCATCTGTCCTTCCATAAATCTGTCAAAACCTGCTAAGTTCAAGAGAGAGCACAGAATATACCTTGTACTGTCAACGCTAAAATGTACACATTGGCAGTGAAAGTGGTGTGTGTAAAATAATCTAACGGTGATAGAATATTGTAATGCCATTGATGTGGGATCACGGTCCTCAGTGAAGATTACCAGGGATTAGTGTAAAGATGAGCAAGTGTGCAGCCAACTGGTTTTCTCAAAGTTCACGGTTTGGAGATTGGTCCTGGGACATGCTGAGCTCTGTAGACTCCGTAACGCTGACATGAACTCAAAGCTTCACTCCCTCCTCCATCCCCTGATGAAGGGTTGTTCAAAAGTTAAATGAACATTTTCCAACTTTCATCTGTTCCTACTTGCCTGTGCACTTCCTGCTTCTGCTGAAAACCAGGAAAAAAGCCAAAATGCCATGAGGAAGCCCTTTCTTAGGCTGTCTCCAGCAAAGTTCTGCCAGCAAGAGAAGCGCCAGTAAATTTAGCTCAGTCTGTACTTTTGCAAGGGGGTTTTTTTGGTAGGGCTTTTTTCTCCTGCTTTAAAGATTGTTTGAGTCCTTTTCAGGCTTCTGGAAATAGTTGTACTCTGTGTTTAGCTTGCTTCCTGCTGGAGCTAGCTTTACAGAAGTGAAAATGGAAACAATATTTTATCTTAAATATTGGAATATCTCTGGGGTTTCTTTGCCTGAAATTCTTAAATATGCATGTTCACTGTGGAGTGGTTGTATTTCTGCTTCATTCTCTCTAAAACTACATCCAAAAAATCAGTAACTAACTCCAGAGCTGCTTCTCAGGGGCTGTATAATTTCATGAATAAAAGTGACAGTTCTAAATTTTTTATCTAGAAAACAGTCTTTGCTTACTCAAATCTTTGTTGAATCTGAGCTTGAAATTTTAACCTGAAAATTACTATGGCAGAATTTTGAACAGGGCTATTCATTTTACCAAAAATTCACTTGGTAGTCAAAAATATTTGTTCATGAGGAAGTGGATAAGGTGTGAAATACACATTGCTAACTGACATTGAATTTTGGGGAAGGAATTAAAAATTGAGGACTCAAGCTAAAGGAAATAGTTTAACAGTGATGACTTTGCACAAAAATATTTCACTATTAAAATTTGAGGTAACTAGAGTTTTAGGTGTCATTATCTTTGCCTTAGTTTCCCTGACTTTTTGTGACATTAGGCTCATAACCATTTTTTCCAAACGTTCAGTCAAAATCAAGCTTCTCTTTCACATCAAGCATTCATGCCTTGGTACTTCTGTCTTCTTTTTTCTGGAACAAATTCATTGCAGCTAATGCAATGCGACTCCCATTCTCCATTTATGCTCCTTAGGGAGCACTGTGCATTGATGGACACTTTTCCTTCTTTACAGCAAAACACTATAAAACATGTTCCATTTGCATTTATCTGCTGGGCTCTGTGGCATGGGTAAAAGTACAAAACTAAATCCTATAGCCATGTTTGAAATACACGTTTTCTGTAATGTGCCTGCCCTCTCTTATTGTTCTTGCTAATGAAAGCTTATTGCTTGGGCTAGACGAAGAAATCTCTGGCAGCATCAGCTTCTGGAGTGCTTAAGGATGGCCTGGATTTTCTAGAACTGCCTGATCTCAGTCTAATTTGTTAAAATTTAAGCATATATATTTCTAAATTACAATAGGATCAATTGGACAGAAGCAAATTTTTCAAACATAGCATACTAAGTACCTTCCTGAAAAGAAATATTTCCTGAACTGTGTCTGCTGTTTGCTGTTAGTCTGTCCTGCTATCCAGGGTTATCCTTTTGTAAAGTCTGAAGAAATTCTATGATTTCTACAGAAAACATTAAGAGTTATATTATACCCTTACAAAAATAATTGCAAGATGCTATGATCATTCCCAGGTTTTACTGGAGCGGGCTGTAGTCCTTCCTACCATTTTGTCTCACCATAGTGATACAATCTTTTAGTTATGTGAACAATCCTGGTAGTTAATGGTATCTTTAATCTTTGAATACTTACCTGCTTTATTTTGACTCCCTACTTCCTGACTCTCACTAATATTTAGTTCTAAATGCAGTGGTTCATTACAGTTGCAGTTGTCCTATTGTTCACTTGGGTTTCAGTTGCAGAACCACATTTCAGGCAAAATGTATTAGTTATGCTTACAAGAATGTATTATACATATATTAGCAATGGTTTACTAAGTTAATGAACTGTGGAAACAAAGGGTTATTGCAGTTGAGTTGTAGAGTTGCTGTACTTCCTTGCTTTCAAGATCTGTGTCCTAACGAGGTTCCTTTGGTAGCACTTTTATTTCCCAGACTTGCTTTTATTCAGGTTTTTGTCTGCTAATTTCTTTAGGTTTTTGATGGTGACAGTCTTTTGGCTTTTGATTTTTATATCAAAATCTTTCTGATTTTTTCTTTTTTACAAAAAAAAAAAAAAGTCTTTTGGTTTTTATCCCTTGATCTTTTCTATCAGAATCTACAGAGAGTGAGGCAGATGTCATGGAGGAAGGGGAGGGGCAGAAATGATGCTGAAGATTAATGGCAATGCATTAGTTCTGTTGCTATTGTTGTTACCAGACCTTTGGTTTCTCACACCTTTGTTCCCAGTATTAGCAGTGTTAAATTTAAGTTACATAGAATGGGTCTTGCATTATATCTGTTTTCAAGAAGCACATGAGCTGCCTTTATAAATTTTGCGTATGTGCTTAAAAATATTCTGTTCCTCCTTTTTTTCCCCTTAGGCCTAACTCCACCTACGACCCCTCCTCATAAAGCCAACCAGGATAATCCTTTTAGGACTTCACCTAAGCTGAAGTCATCATGCAAGACGGGTGTACCACCTTCAAAAAAGCCCCGCTATAGTGAGTCTTCCAGTTCTCAAGGAAATAACCCAATCAAGAAAGGTCCAGAACAGTCTGAGCTGTACGCACAGCTTAGCAAGACTACAGTACTGTCCAGTGGACATGAGGAGAGAAAGACAAAACGGCCGAGTTTGCGGCTGTTTGGTGACCATGACTACTGTCAATCTGTGAATTCAAAATCGGAAATACACATTAAAATATCCCAGGAACTTCAGGACTCCAGACAACTAGAATTTAAGGATTCTTCACCTGGGTGGCAGTGTCAGATTTGTTGTTCTTTAGAACAAGACCAGTATTTCAAGAAAGAGACTTTACAGACAAGTAAGCAGGGATCCCATGGTAATAACAGAAAACAGCTCCAAGACCAGGAAATTCGGGCTGAACTGAATAAGCATTTTGGTCACCCCAGCCAAGCTGTTTTTGATGAAGAAGCAGATAAGACCAGAGAACTAAGGGACAGTGATTACAGTAATGAACAATTCTCCAAACTACCTATGTTTATAAATTCAGGACTAGCAATGGATGGTCTCTTGGATGACAGTGAAGATGAAAGTGATAAACTATGCTACCCTTGGGATGGGACACAAGCCTATTCATTATTTGATGTTTCACCTTCTTGCTCTTCATTTAACTCTCCATGCAGAGATTCAGTGTCTCCACCCAAATCCTTATTTTCTCAAAGATCCCAAAGGACGCGCTCTAGATCAAGGTCCTTTCCTCAACGCAGGTCTTGTTCCCGTTCTCCATATTCCCGATCGAGATCAAGGTCGCCCTGTAGTAGATCCTCTTCAAGGTATGGTACAGCAAATTCATGTATCATTATCATAGTTAATACGAAGGAAAACAGCAAAAACATAAAGCAGCTTGAAGGAAAGAAAGAAAAAACCCCAAGAAACAACTTAATCCAGTGCAACTTGTTCTATTGCTCCTAAGCTGATTAACTCTGAAGGTTATGGGGTTGCTGCAGAAACACTTGTTGCCATTATCCTTTAAATTGGCCAAGTTTACACTTTCTGAGTGGAGCCAGTCAGGTCAGCAGCAGAACAATTGGTGAGAGATGTATACAACTAACCTTTCCCATTATCTGCGAGCTGCCCAATGCCAATCTGGCTGCAGTCCCTATCAGATGAAGTTGACAGTGGCTGACTCTCTGCTCTGTGTTAGCCTTAATAAGGAACATTACAGAAGGGCACGGGGGTAAAGCACTAGAGGCCCCTTAGTTGACTATGAGATTGCAAACTGTCACTGGAAAAATCTCACTGGTAGCTTAGAAGAAATTGTAAGTTTGGGGAAGAGGTAGAAAATGGTGTAAATAGATTCAAACTGAATGACAGGGGTGGATGTGTTTCTTCCTGCAGATCTTGTTGCTATTATGAGTCCAGCCACTGTAGACATCAAGCATACAGAAGTTCTCCCTTACGTGCAAGATCGCGATCCAGATCACCGTACAGTCGCAGACCCAGGTAATGCATTTTGCCAGCATTTGGTTTGCTTTGCAGCTGGTTGTCAAGAGATAATGAAGCATTCCAGAAATTGTATTATTAATTTTGCATTCACAAATGCAGGTCCTTGATTTAATGACTAAGTTGTGTTTCCTAGATATGACAGCTATGAGGAATATCAGCATGAAAGGCTGAAGAGGGAAGAATACCGCAAAGAGTGTGAAAAACGGGAATCTGAAAGGGCCAAACAAAGGGAGAGACAGAGGCAGAAAGCAATTGTAAGCACTCTGAAGATAACTTTCACTTTGAAATAGATTTCTGTTTCTTTTCATAGATTTCTAAAGATAGAACTCAGATTTTATTTTCCTTTTTTATAAAAGAAAAAATAATGCAAAGATCTGCTTATGTATATTTCTTAGTGTTTTGAATTTTAGGCAAATACGTGTTTTGATAACAATTTGTGTTCTAGTGTTACAAGACTTAATTTTTTCAGGTTCTGTAAATTGCAATTCTTCAAGTTTTTCTCTGTCAACAGATACAAAAGGCTTACTAGAAAAAGGTTTCATCCTAAGCGACAGACAATGAAAAGTGACCCAGTTTATTTCTTATACAGATCTACTAGTGACCCTCCATTTTATATTATATATATCACCTACCGGAGTGCCACTAACCAATGTTTATTTTCTATATTTGTGGGTTTCTTGTATAAGCAGTGTAAGGAGTCAGCTTACATACCAGTCGCTGGACTTGCATGGCAGCTGTAGTTGTCTATGCAGAGGGTGCAGACAACAGAATGCAAAACTGGGATCCAAAGGCACGAGTTTAACTTCTCTTTCTTTTTTTTTTTCCCTGTCAATGACTCGGTTAATTTGTAAGTTATTTTTAGCAAAATAAATAGTCTGAAGACATGATGCAATTTGAAAATGTCGTTAACATTGGCCCTTTCATGATGAATATGTATTATTTAATTATTTCGTTCATCAAAGTCCTGTGTGAAACAATTGAAATACCTGAGGCAAAGGAAATACCCACATGGGAATGAGCAACTCTCTTGGCTGTTGTAGCAGTAGGACAGAAGAATGGCTAGTAAATGGACAAATGGCTTTTGCCCCATTGGCAACTGTGTAATGGTTTTGATAAATCAGGAGCTGCTGTAAATCTGGACTCCTCTTGTAATTGCTAAGGCCATTTGGTGTCTCATCTTTGTATTTTCTACTTGGTTGTCTGTGTCCGCCGGCTCTGTCCATTTTGTTCTACCTTCACCGCTATTCTGGCTGTGCTCTGGCTATTGCATGAACTGGTGCAAACTGGGACCCTTGATCTTCATTTCCAGATTTTCTCTTAGTGTTATATCCAGGATTTACCAAAATGGTAATTTTTCCAGCGCCTTTATTGAACTTTGTAGTAAAAGGTGATTTGACACACGCTTGTCAGCGTTTCTCCTAATACTT